TCTACACTTTGAAGGTGTAAAGCGCACACCAAAGCGTTGTATATTTACTATTGTCTTTTCTGTTGCATAGACTGCTGTCATTCTGGGCGCATATTCTAACATTTTGCTTGTCCCGTTTTAGCTCTCATGCCTCGTTTTTGGTCGATTAAAGCCTTTCATTAGGGCGTTGTCTTCTGGCTTGTCTGCCGACTAAAAGTGTGATCTGATACACTACAAGTTCTCATCAATAATATAATCAACTCTGTTACAACTTAATCAACCAATTACAATGGACGGACATCTACGCCCGGATCGTTTCGACACTGATCCAAATTCTATAAACGGTGCCGATTCCTGGTATTATACGTTCACTAATTTCCTAGGACTTATGAAAAGCACAAACCAGACAAACTCAAAACCCTCGTGCACCTTTTGTCGCCTACTTGTCCACCAATTCGTTTCACGATGCACTGATTATGACTCTGCCATTATGACGCTTCAATCCCTATACATGCAAACAAAGAACGAGATTTTCGCGCGTCATCTTCTGGCAACCTCGAAGCAGAGTACTATTGAAACTCTAGATCAAATCATGCAGAAGCTCAGAAACCTCGCTAGAGACTGCAATTTTAAAGCAGTTAATGCAAAATAAAACGAAGAGGACGCCATACGTGACGCGTTTATCAGCGGGCTATTATCAAACCCCATCAGCTAGCGGCTTGTTGAAAATAAAACATTTATGTGAGTACCGTTTATGACCAAGCCAAAGCGCTCAATCTAGCTCAACAGCAGTCTCAAACATTCGCCCAAGCCACTCCCTCAAGCTACGCTGCCGCTGCAAGCGCCCTGAGACGATGCTGGCTGCGTCCCAAACAAGTTCGTTTTTTGTGGCTATGATCGACATCCTCGCCTTGTGAAAGATGCAACTTGTAAGTTATGTGGCATACGGGGACACTTCCAAAAAGTTTGCCGGGCTCCTGCCAACTCAAAGCATACCGCAGCTACCTCACCATTTCTCGTCTCATCCATTAGTGCAGCCGCAGCTCCTACGAGCCTTACTAACAGTCAACGGATTAGCACTGAAAGCTCTGGTAGACACAGGAAGCTCAGAAAGTTACGTATCTGAGGAGATCGTTATCCGGAACAAATGGTCGACATTGACATCTAACAGTAGGATTGTCCTGGCTTCCACCCATATGACAAGCTGCACCAGTGGTCATTGTTTTGTCTCTCGGTATGAAAATGTCAAACTGTCCGTTCTCTCTGATTTGTGTGCTGACGTACTACTTGGACGTGACTTTTACGACACAAGACGGTAGAAACACCCTTCTAAGGAATTCAGTCACCATTTTCTCTCTGTGGTCACTTAGCCGCTAGTCTGCCAGTTCCCTCCCTTTTCGCACATCTGGACCCCTCTTACCGTCCTATTTGCACAAAATCAAGAAGACACAACTACTACGATGAGAATTCTATTCGTTCAGAGGTCGCTAGGCTATTGAAGGATGGAATAATCGAACCTTCTCGATCACCATGGCTGCCCCAGATCCTGGTTACAACCAACGAAAGCCAGAAACGACGCATGGTAGTCGATTACAGTCAGAGAGTTAACCGATTCACCCTTCTAGATGCTTATCCGTTCCCCCGCATTGATGACTTGGTGGGTAAAATTGCCGAATACAGCATTTTCAGCACCCTAGACTTGGAGAGTGCGTACCACCACAAACCTTTAAAGGAAAATGAACGACATTATACAGCTTTCGAGGCATGCAACAACCTTTACCGATTTCGCCGCATACCGTTTGGAGTAATCAACAGCCTCGCCTGTTTTCAGCGCACCATGGATGAGCTTGTTCAACGTGAAGGGCTCAAAGGAACCTTTGTATATGTAGACAACATTACGGTCTGTGGGAAAGAAATCACGGACCACGACATCAATCTAAAGAGGTTCCTGCAGGCGGCTGCCAAACATGGTTTCACTCTAAATCACAAGTGCGTATTCACTTCTGAAGTAGTTCGATTACTAGGTAACGAAATATCCTAGGGATGCGTCAAGCCGGATCCTGAATGCTTCGATGCCTTTCTCAAAGTACCTCCTTCCTCGAATATGAAGGCACAACAGAGTTGTAGGAATATTCTCATACTATTCTCAGTAGTTTTCTCATTTTTTCGGGAAAGATTCGACCGGTAATTACTAACAAAATCTTTCCTCTTCCCAATAAAGTACTCTCCTCTTATGAATCATTGAAATCCGAGTTAATTCAAGCATAACTGGTTGCAGTTGATAAAGACACACCACCAGTGGTCGAAACCGATGCACTGATACACTCAATCAAAGTGGTCGCCCTGTGGCTTTTTTCACGCACGCTGTCACCCTCAGAGCGAAATCATTCTGCTGTGGAAATAGAAGCCTACGCAATAACTGAAGCCATTCGAAAGTGGCGGCACCACCTACTGCGTGCCCACTTCAAATTGGTTACTGATCAACGCTCCGTCGCCTTTATGTACGATATGAAAGTCAGCAGCAAAATCAAGAACGACAAAATACAACACTGACGTATCGAAACTTCCCAATTCTCATATGATGTGATATACCGTCCAGGTTCGGAGAATCCTGCAGCCGATGCTTTATCACGAGCATTCTGCGCAAGCACCCAATCAATCGATGAACTGAAGAGACTTCACGACAGTCCGTGCCGCTCCGGTATCACGCGTCTGTACCATTTTGTCCGCACAAAAAATTTACCCTTTTCTCTCGATAATGTCAAGGTGGTAACTCAACAATGTTCTGTTTGTGCACGCCTGAAACCCAAGTTTCACATACCACGCAATAGCCCCCTTGTTAAGGCCACAAAACCTTCTGAACACCTCACCGTTGATCTCAAAGGCCCCATTCCGTCGTCCACTCGAAATCACTACATTTTGACAATTACTGATGAGTATTCCCGTTTTCCGTTTGCCTTCCCCTGTCCCGACATGACTGCTCGCACTATAATTTCTCGTTCAACTGTTATTTTATATATTTAACCCGCCGCATTATTTACACTCCGATCAAGGGGCCTCTTTCATGTTTCAGGAACTAAAGATGTTCCTTCACGACCGAGGAGTAGCTACTAGCAGGACGACGAGCTATAACCCTCAAGGTAATGGTCAGGTTGGAAGGAACCATCTGAAAAACCGTATCCCTGTGCCTCCGTTCTAAGGATCTAACGGCTGATCAATGGGAGTTGGTGCTACCTGATGCCCTCCATGCTATCAGATAATTACTCTGTACGACTATCAACGCGATGCCTCACGAACGTATGTTTCTCCACAATCGAAAATATGCTGTTGACACCACTCTGCCCCAGTGGTTATTAACACCTGGTCCTGTACCATATCGAAGAAGCATCCGCTCTTCCAAGTATGACCCCATGATACAGGAAGTTGTACCACTGGAGAGCAACCCCGATATGCTCACATACGTCTACCTAACGGACGAGAAGAAACAGTATCTCTTCGTCATCTTGCTCCCGTAGAGCGACCAACTTCATCGCTACCCGCCCCTTCTTCAGAGCTTTGCACAGAATCCCCCCACCCCCATCTGATGACACACTATGCACCTCAGATTCGCACACAGTTATGTCCAACCCGATGAAATTTCTTAGTGAACCAGAAACAAGCGTTGAAGACTTTTAATCTAAACAACAAAGGGTGAGACCTTATTGCCTTCGAAACCGTGAAGTTTAGCAACACTCCGCTAATTAATGTGAACACATCCCATTCTCAGTCTTCGGGATACCAAAAACAACTTTCATCGTAATCTTCGTTTTCTGAGTGACGACGAATGTTATAGATTTTTTATTGGCCTTTTTGTTGCATAGACTGCTGTCATTCTGGGCGCATATTCTAACATTTTGCTTGTCCCGTTTTAGCTCTCATGCCTCGTTTTTGGTCGATTAAAGCCTTTCATTAGGGCGTTGTCTTCTGGCTTGTCTGCCGACTAAAAGTGTGATCTGATACACTACAAGTTCTCATCAATAATATAATCAACTCCGTTACATGAGCATCGATACACTAGCACTCAAACTATCCAGAAAAGCTTGCAGCTTACCTGAATCTTCACTTAGTAGCACAATGTCGTCTGCATACTCTAGATCAGATGGTCTGCCACCTGGGAGTCAATCGATGCCGCTATCCCTGCACGAGGATGGGGCTGTTTCAAGAATTAAATCTATAACAAAGTTAAATAGAAGTGGAGAGAGACGAACGCAATCTATTTATCTATTTCCCCTTGGTTGGATTCAAGGTAAGGCAGCAAGTGTCGTCGTCGACTCAAATAGAACACTTAGCTTATACCCTATGCAAACATCGTGCAGGCGATTTCTTGTTCTTATCATACTACTACGGCTAGATTGTTCAATTAAACTTCCATTCCCTTGTTCTTCCCTAAATATCCCATACAATCAGTGGTATCAAATGACTTTCCCTGTGCGCCGTACATTCAACTTAAAGCTGATTTTTTCCCAAAACCTACAAAGTTTTAAAGCAGTTTTCCTAGCTACATTCTCCCAAATTTAGGGCATTACTAGTTTTCGGCGTAGAATTAACAGGCCGGTTGGTGCTGTACCATCTTTTTGGCACATTACACAATATACGATTAGCCTATGAGCTTTAGCCCTCACAGGGTTTTATCCCGTGTTACCAAACGATGTTCGTTATTCTTCTTTTGAAAACGTTGTTTTTGCTCTCGATGGATGATGTAAACAACACTTCTCTTATTGCCGTGGCAGCCAGTCAAGCTGAAAGCAGGCCTACAATGAAGTCTTTACGCAGGTGAGTAACCAAACCTAGACAATAGCGATACCAGATTTACTATATACACATAATGGAAAATAAATCTGTTAGCCAACTTACTAGTGTGGTTGCAAAAAGCCAAGAGGATACAATCGAACACAGGTTCCAAAAAAATCGCAGATCACAATTAGCGAGACAATGATTCGATATGAAATAACATCTGGATTGCTAGATTTAATATCACTCACCGCATCCAGCACCGGGTTGTGATGGTCCCGATTAATGAATTCAAAATACGGCAATTCTTTGATTGCATTTGGTAAAGCAGCCACTTGCGTTTTTAATGCGGCAAACCTCTCAATCGCGAGATCTATAGATTTAGCGCGTTTCTGTAAATGAAACTGGATCCGCTGTCGCTGTTCTTCGAATACAGCTAGAAAACCTTTTAAGGTCCAACCTTCTTTCGGTTCGAGAGAGGATAGGTCCATGGCTTTCAGAAGGGGTAGTGACATGATCAAGAGCCGGGCTAGAAATAAACCAAAGCATGTCTGTTTTTGACGCGTTCGGTAGGACACCCAGAGACAAGTGCCACTAGTGGATCAGCTGACTTATTGAACAAATTAAGCAACTATACAGAAACAAAATATTGACAGTATTCCTTACGCAACAGATATGTTTAGGAAACAAGTGTATTATTTCTTGACTTTCTTGAACATATTTACCATCACAACGGGACAGCACCTTGAAGTGGGATTGATGGCTTGCGTGCCTCCATAACTCTAAGAGCTATACAGGATGGATTCCTGTGGCCCGAATGGGATTTTGTTCATGGGGCACTCCGTCACGTCTCAACAAGAGGAGAGCTGTATGCTACCGAGCGCGTCCCCAGGTCACGGATAGGGGAACGCCAGCCAGTTCATGACTAATCGTGAATAAGATGGGCTCAGGCCCCCCGAATGAGCCGTTGCGGACGATTCGTAGCAAAGCTTGAGGGTGTGGTAGGTTCATCACTTGGTAAGGGTTCTCCATACAAAACAAAACATGTATATTTCGACAGCGCTGTGACGTAGTGAATATTGAATATGGTCATGGACCCCTTGCGGTGTTTTATCTATCCAAAAAGGTTCTCCAAAAGAGGCAAATGAACCAAACAACCGGGCACCCGCTCACTTGGGGTAATGCTACTATTTCCTAGATCGCGCTTGGTTGCGCAAAGACTAGAGTGCACTTTAGAACAAGACCTACTCTGGGCTGGGTGGCCGAGTGATACAACAGCCCACAATGCACACAAAATGAAATATGAAATCTATTATCCAAGAATTTGCACCAACAGTTATCCTCATCCAAGTAAAATCGTTCTGCACTGTACATATCTTCCGGATTCCCAGTTTTTCCTCTCGCTCTCACGCATCCTACTTAAATATTTCCAAATTCATCAGGGTCTTCAGACGATGGTACCAACAGTTGTGCCTCGAATGGAAATCCTGCCTCTGTCCTCTCGCGTCCAAGTCTCGTCGAATCCTTCAATTCCAACTGAAACTAGTCTTCGTCCATTCAAGCTGGCCACATTTAATGAGCGCACTTTGGTGTGCATGTTTAACTCGCACTCCCGAGACCCCAGCCATCGATGTGTTGTGTCCAAGGAGCTTGCATTCAAGACTNCAAGACTTTCGACTGACGTCCCCATCAAACCCATCCGTGAAGTTTCGCTCACGTATTTATGGGGACCTTGAGGCCGCGGCTTCTTGTCTTGCTGGCTTTCGGCTTCAACTTTTACAACAACTGACCATGCACTTTCATGTGCCGGTTTTGGTTTCTGTCTTTTGGTAACCCATTTGGATAAAAGAGTAGGATGAAGATTGGAATGTTGAATGCAGAAGATAGCGAATTCATATAATTTGGTGTTAAGAGAATAATGAGTAGATGCATGAGCTCCACTGTTTGCAACACCCAGCCACACTACTCAGTGTCTCTAACTATCGGTGACCAAAATCTCGGGGTCCCCAACCAGGGAGCATAACGGGTCCTATGTGATCCAGACGCCTGGTTAGGGTTTTTATACTTTCATGCCAGCTCTTCGTCTCACCNCGCTCGCTGTGGCAACCTATCTGGCGACATATGAAACACATAACCCACCCATCACTGAACAGTACGTCCTCGTGACTATGGGTGTTCGCTCCGTCTGATGTTCAACACACTTAGGTGTGTTATAAAAAAATCTATGGGGTCGACTACTTCCACCAGTGGGCGACTGCCTACAACTCTACGCCTAACCTCAGCATTGCTCATCCGGTTTACCCACCAGACTCGTGCAATGCGACGTAGACAGCGGTGTTCGAACACCGACAGTCTATTCTTATCCTGTTCCCGTAATAGCCAATTCTCCGCAATGTATAGCAGAACTGCTGCAGCATATACTCCTCCCTTCACAGACAACCGGATGTCGCGACGGCGCCACAGATGTCTCAAGTTAGCAAACGCCAGTCGAGCTTTCTGTATGCGCGCCGACACTTCGTCAGGGATGCGTCCGCCAGGTGAGATATAGCTGCCCAAATAACAAAACTTGTCTACTTTCTCTACAACTTCCCCGGTTCGGGTGAGGTTGGGGACTGGGGTAACCCTATCTTGGAGCAGAATTTTACACTTTGGAGGTGCAAAACACTCAAACTATCCAGAAAAGCTTGCAGCTTACCTGGATTCTCACTTAGAAGCTCAATTTCTCCTGCATATTCCAGATCAGTTTGCCACCTGGGAGTAAATCGATACGCACACCCTTGCAGAAGGATAGGGTTGTTTCAAGAATTAAATCTGTGACAAAGTGAAATAGGAACGGAACGAGAGGGCAACCCTGTCGAACACCACTTTCGGTGGTGAAGTCGGGTGAAAAAGTGCCGTAAGCCCGAACTTGGTTTCGGCTATTAGTATAAAGGGATTGTAAGATTGAAATTAACTTCTCGGACACACCCTTTAGAGCGAGGAAGCGCCAGAGTTTAGAACGGTCGATTGAGTTCGACTAGAAAGCTGCTTTCAGATCGAAGACAGGGAGTGTTTACGAACAGAATGTCGGTGCTCCAGAGTTTGGTAAAGAGCGATGTGCTCGATACAACCTCGACCAGGTCGAAAACCAGCCTGGTTCTCACGTGTGCTCTTTTCACGTGCGGCAGACAATCGACGGAGTATAATACCAGAGGGAATTTCAGAGACGATGTTGATGCAACTAAATTCTATGTGGTTTTCACAAAAGATCTTTCACCTTTCTTGGAGAATCACCGATTTACACCATTCAGTCGGAACCTGTACCTTCTCACACACCCAGCCCAGGAGTTTCGTTAACTCCAAAACCAAGCCTGAACCACCATCCTTAAAAACCGATGGCGACAGTCCGTCGCTGCCGGAAGCCTTATATTTTTGAGATGTAAATTTTAGGGTACGCCAACTGACTCCGAGTGAAGCGCATCTTGGAGGTTCATTCGGAAAACGGGGAACGGCTGTTGCTCTATGTTTCGACTACCGCCTATTCCTCACCAGTAATAACTTCAGACGATCCAGCTTTTGGTACGCAACTTGATGTGCATACTACTCAAGTCCGCAACGAACACAGATTGCCAAATCCCAACCTTTGAGTAATTATTTGTATTCCGTACCCAGCTCTCTCCATTTTCTCCTTCTCCCGACCTGTAATAGTCTCTCTAGAAACTGGGATGCCGCTCGCAGTATGCGGGTGCCAAACTGCACTGTACCACGGAGTGAATTGCAGATTCTAAAGCCTCGTCAATCACTGAATCTGAGGGCCTTCAAAGGGAGGACTCCGATGCAGGTCAACAAGTCAAGTGAACAAAATGATCTGGCGCGTACAATGGAATCCTTAGGAATCGATATTTCTTACGTGTCGGAGACTCGAAATTAGGATACTACTATGAGCCACTTGAGCGTGCTAGAATTGTCGTCGAGAGATGTTCTTTATGTTAGGACGGAGCCTAACCCGTCCGATCGCGCACACCTCCGAGTCAGGCCACACGCACGCTCGCAACAATCCAGATAGGCTGAACCTGATTGGATGATCACAGAACGCGTCAGCCAATGTGTGTCCAAACCATCAATCGATATGCAAGGACAATCTGATTGGTGGGTCATTGTGCCGTTCCCGTATGCACGATTAGTTTTATGTTTTGCGTATCGATAGCGAATCAAGGAAAACACGCTGACTGTGTTCTCTCCTCTTGGTTGGTATTGAATGAGGGTTTTTAGCCAACTCCCCTAGGTGAACCATCAGGACGAGACTGCACCTTGACGTGTTGTGATGGCTTGTACACCTCTCTGACCCAACGAGCTACGCAGGATGGCTTTTATCAAGCCGAAGA